ATGATAGGTCAATGGTAAAATTCAATCGGAATATGAATTTACGAATAAATGGCCAGGTCATGCTAACTTTTTTAAAGATGTGCTTTGTCAATATTTTGGAACTTGGTGTAGAACTTTTCTTGCGAACAGATAGATATTTTATTAATTTTTTGATGATAATTAGGTCTTTCGCAACAGAGTTTTTAAAATACTTTCCACCATATTTCGGATGGGAGCCATATGAGGCATTTAATAACAGAAGTACGTCTTGAAGGCAGCGCAAACTATCACCTGTTGGAATCTCAGTCTTTGAAGCTATCTCAGATAGAGGAGCAAGGTAGTGATCTATGTACTTAAGCCTTTATAGATATATTCATCCATTATTATCTATGTTTATTTAGAACGGGTAGATACTTCTCCACTCCTTTCTAGACATCCCTTTATAGTATTTCGAGACAAAAATAAGAAAATAGACCTATAGTGCTTCGAAAAACACTCAAAAGCATCTCAAAATCTATGCAACTTTTTTTGTTTATTACTATTACTAAAGTTGCTGACTATATATAGGCTGTGGTAGCATAACATCTTTGTTGTATCTCAAAATTTCTATCCTTCCATTATTGCTGAAGCACTTCTTGGCATCAATATCTCCAATCTGTAGGCGAACAATTTTCCTTTAAAACCCTCTATAACCATCCAGCCAATCTTCTTTAATCAAATCTGCACCTTTCTCTCCTACCATAATGGCTGGGGCATTGGTATTCTCACTTGGTATGGTTGGCATTCTCGAAGCGTCTATAGCCCTAAGTCCCGCCACACCATACACCCTCAGTCTTGGATCGACCACGTTACATCGTTATCCATGTCAGGTCCCATTTTGCAAGTATTCACCAGTTTTTAGATGGTACAGATAGGGCACTACTAGAGTCTCATTTTCCTTTAGGGTCACCTCCAGCAATCCACCAGACCTTCTTTGATAAGGTCCGTCCTTACCTCCTTTATTCATAGTAACTGGTCAATAACGTAGTCCAACCATCTTCCCATAAAATCGTCTATAACCATTCAACTAATCTTCTTTGATAGATTGCTCTGGGTAAAGCAATGTCCTTCTATAGAGCATCGCAATCGGTAAATCCTCAGTCTTGGATCTACTACATCATCCTTGACGGAATTTGGTCCCATTTTGTAAATTCCAACAGGGTGGTAGGTGCAATTGGATATAGTGCGGATGTAGTACTACAAGTTGCTCCGCGAGCGATCCATTTTCTTTCAAAATCCTCTGTAGCCATCTAATCTATATTCTTTGATTAAATGTGAACATTTCTATCCTTCCATTATTGCTGAAGCATTGGTATCTTCTTGGCATCAGTATCTCCAATCTGTAGGCGAACGATTTTACCTTTAAAACCCTCTATAACCATCCAGCCAATCTTCTTTAATCAAATCTGCTCCTTTCTCTCCTACCATAATGGCTGGGGCATTGGTATTCTCACTTGGTATGGTTGGCATTCTCGAAGCGTCTATAGCCCTAAGTCCCGCCACACCATACACCCTCAGTCTTGGATCGACCACGTTACATCGTTATCCAAGTCAGGTCCCATTTTGAAAGTATTCACCAGTTTTTAGATGGTACAGATAGGGCACTACTACAGTCTCATTTTCCTTTAGGGTCACCTCCAGCAATCCACCAGACCTTCTTTGATAAGGTCGGTCCTTTCCTCCTTTATCCCATAGTAACTGGTCAATAACGTAGTCCAACCATCTTCCCATGAAATCCTCTATAACCATTCAACTAATCTTCTTTGATAGATGGCTCTGGGTAAAGCAATATCCTTCTATAGAGCATCGCAATCGGTAAATCCTCAGTCTTGGATCTACTACATCATCCCTGACGGAATCTGGTCCCTTTTTGTAAATTCCAACAGGGTGGTAGGTGCAATTGGATATAGTACGGATGTGGTACTACAAGTTGCTCCGCGAGCGATCTATTTTCTTTCAAAATCCTCTGTAGCCATCTAATCTATCTTCTTTGATTGAACCTGCACATTTCTATCCTTCCATTCTTGCTGAAGTATCGGTATCTTCTTGGCATCAATATCTGCAACCTGTATGCGAACGATTTCACTTTAAAACCCTCTATAACCATCCAGCCAATCTTCTTTAATCAAATCTGCACCTTTCTCTCCTACCATAATGGCTGGGGCATTGGTATTCCCACTTGGTATGGTCGGCATGATCGACGCGTCTATAACCCTAAGTCCCGCCACACCATACACTCTCAGTCTTGGATCGACCACGTTACATCGTTATCCAAGTCAGGTCCCATTTTGCAAGCATTCACCAGTTTTTAGATGGTACAGATAGGGCACTACTAGAGTCTCATTGTCCTTTAGGGTCACCTCCAGCAATCCACCAGACCTTCTTTGATAAGGTCAGTCCTTTCCTCCTTTATCCATAGTTACTAGGCAATAACGTAGTCCAACCATCTTCCCATAAAATCCTCTATAACCATTCAACTAATCTTCTTTGATAGATTGCTCTGTGTAAAGCAATATCCTTCTATAGAGCATCGCAATCAGTAAATCCTCAGTCTTGGATCTACTACATCATCCCTGACGGAATCTGGTCCCTTTTTGTAAATTCCAACAGGGTGGTAGGTGCAATTGGATATAGTACGGATGTGGTACTACAAGTTGCTCCGCGAGCGATCTATTTTCTTTCAAAATCCTCTGTAGCCATCTAATCTATCTTCTTTGATTGAACCTGCACATTTCTATCCTTCCATTCTTGCTGAAGTATCGGTATCTTCTTGGCATCAATATCTGCAACCTGTATGCGAACGATTTCACTTTAAAACCCTCTATAACCATCCAGCCAATCTTCTTTAATCAAATCTGCACCTTTCTCTCCTACCATAATGGCTGGGGCATTGGTATTCCCACTTGGTATGGTCGGCATGATCGACGCGTCTATAACCCTAAGTCCCGCCACACCATACACCCTCAGTCTTGGATCGACCACGTTACATCGTTATCCAAGTCAGGTCCCATTTTGCAAGCATTCACCAGTTTTTAGATGGTACAGATAGGGCACTACTAGAGTCTCATTGTCCTTTAGGGTCACCTCCAGCAATCCACCAGACCTTCTTTGATAAGGTCCGTCCTTTCCTCCTTTATCCATAGTAACTGGTCAATAACGTAGTCCAACCATCTTCCCATAAAATCCTCTATAACCATTCAATTAATCTTCTTTGATAGATTGCTCTGGGTAAAGCAATATCCTTCTATAGAGCATCGCAATCGGTAAATCCTCAGTCTTGGATCTACTACATCATCCTTGACGGAATCTGGTCCCATTTTGTAAATTCCAACATGGTGGTAGGTGCAATTGGATATAGTACGGATGTGGTACTACAAGTTGCTCCGCGAGCGATCCATTTTCTTTCAAAATCCTCTGTAGCCATCTAATCTATCTTCTTTGATTAAACCTGCACATTTCTATCCTTCCATTCTTGCTGAAGCATTGGTATTTTCTTGGCATCGATATCTCCAATCTGTAGGCGAACTATTTCACTTTAAAACCCTCTATAACCATCCAGCCAATCTTCTTTAATCAAATCTGCTCCTTTCTCTCCTACCATAATGGCTGGGGCATTGGTATTCTCACTTGGTATGGTTGGCATGATCGAAGCGTCTATAACCCTAAGTCCCGCCACACCATACACCCTCAGTCTTGGATCGACCACGTTACATCGTTATCCAAGTCAGGTCCCATTTTGCAAGCATTCACCAGTTTTTAGATGGTACAGAGAGGGCACTACTAGAGTCTCATTTTCCTTTAGGGTCACCTCCAGCAATCCACCAGACCTTCTTTGATAAGGTCAGTCCTTTCCTCCTTTATCCATAGTTACTAGGCAATAACGTAGTCCAACCATCTTCCCATAAAATCCTCTATAACCATTCAACTAATCTTCTTTGATAGATTGCTCTGTGTAAAGCAATATCCTTCTATAGAGCATCGCAATCAGTAAATCCTCAGTCTTGGATCTACTACATCATCCCTGACGGAATCTGGTCCCTTTTTGTAAATTCCAACAGGGTGGTAGGTGCAATTGGATATAGTACGGATGTGGTACTACAAGTTGCTCCGCGAGCGATCTATTTTCTTTCAAAATCCTCTGTAGCCATCTAATCTATCTTCTTTGATTGAACCTGCACATTTCTATCCTTCCATTCTTGCTGAAGTATCGGTATCTTCTTGGCATCAATATCTGCAACCTGTATGCGAACGATTTCACTTTAAAACCCTCTATAACCATCCAGCCAATCTTCTTTAATCAAATCTGCACCTTTCTCTCCTACCATAATGGCTGGGGCATTGGTATTCCCACTTGGTATGGTCGGCATGATCGACGCGTCTATAACCCTAAGTCCCGCCACACCATACACCCTCAGTCTTGGATCGACCACGTTACATCGTTATCCAAGTCAGGTCCCATTTTGCAAGCATTCACCAGTTTTTAGATGGTACAGATAGGGCACTACTAGAGTCTCATTGTCCTTTAGGGTCACCTCTAGCAATCCACCAGACCTTCTTTGATAAGGTCCGTCCTTTCCTCCTTTATCCATAGTAACTGGTCAATAACGTAGTCCAACCATCTTCCCATAAAATCCTCTATAACATTCAACTAATCTTCTTTGATAGATTGCTCTGGGTAAAGCAATATCCTTCTATAGAGCATCGCAATCGGTAAATCCTCAGTCTTGGATCTACTACATCATCCTTGACGGAATCTGGTCCCATTTTGTAAATTCCAACAGGGTGGTAGGTGCAATTGGATATAGTACGGATGTGGTACTACAAGTTGCTCCGCGAGCGATCCATTTTCTTTCAAAATCCTCTGTAGCCATCTAATCTATCTTCTTTGATTAAACCTGCACATTTCTATCCTTCCATTCTTGCTGAAGTATCGATATCTTCTTGGCATCAATATCTGCAATCTGTATGCGAACGATTTCACTTTAAAACCCTCTATAACCGTCCAGCCAATCTTCTTTAATCAAATCTGCTCCTTTCTCTTTTACCATAATGGCTGGGGCATTGGTATTCTCACTTGGTATGGTTGGCATGATCGAAGCGTCTATAGCCCTAAGTCCCGCCACACCATACACTCTCAGTCTTGGATCGATCACGTTACATCGTTATCCAAGTCAGGTCCCATTTTGCAAGTATTCACCAGTTTTTAGATGGTACAGATAGGGCACTACTGGAGTCTCATTTTCCTTTAGGGTCACCTCCAGCAATCCACCAGATCTTCTTTGATAAGGTCCGTCCTTTCCTCCTTTATCCATAGTAACTGGTCAATAACGTAGTCCAACCATCTTCCCATAAAATCCTCTATAACCATTCAACTAATCTTCTATGATATATTGCTCTGGGTAATGCAATATCCTTCTATAGAGCATCGCAATCGGTAAACCCTCAGTATTGGATCTACTACATCATCCTTGACGGAATCTGGTCCCATTTTGTAAATTCCAACAGGGTGGTAGGTGCAATTGGATATAGTACGGATGTGGTACTACAAGTTGCTCCGCGAGCGATCCATTTTCTTTCAAAATCCTCTGTAGCCATCTAATCTATCTTCTTTGATTAAACCTGCACATTTCTATCCTTCCATTCTTGCTGAAGTATCGATATCTTCTTGGCATCAATATCTGCAATCTGTATGCGAACGATTTCACTTTAAAACCCTCTATAACCGTCCAGCCAATCTTCTTTAATCAAATCTGCTCCTTTCTCTTTTACCATAATGGCTGGGGCATTGGTATTCTCACTTGGTATGGTCGGCATGATCGACGCGTCTATAACCCTAAGTCCCGCCACACCATACACCCTCAGTCTTGGATCGACCACGTTACATCGTTATCCAAGTCAGGTCCCATTTTGCAAGCATTCACCAGTTTTTAGATGGTACAGATAGGGCACTACTAGAGTCTCATTGTCCTTTAGGGTCACCTCCAGCAATCCACCAGACCTTCTTTGATAAGGTCAGTCCTTTCCTCCTTTATCCATAGTTACTAGGCAATAACGTAGTCCAACCATCTTCCCATAAAATCCTCTATAACCATTCAATTAATCTTCTATGATATATTGCTCTGGGTAATGCAATATCCTTCTATAGAGCATCGCAATCGGTAAACCCTCAGTATTGGATCTACTACATCATCCTTGACGGAATCTGGTCCCATTTTGTAAATTCCAACAGGGTGGTAGGTGCAATTGGATATAGTACGGATGTGGTACTACAAGTTGCTCCGCGAGCGATCCATTTTCTTTCAAAATCCTCTGTAGCCATCTAATCTATCTTCTTTGATTAAATGTGCACATTTCTATCCTTCCATTATTGCTGAAGCACTTCTTGGCATCAATATCTCCAATCTGTAGGCGAACGATTTTCCTTTAAAACCCTCTATAACCATCCAGCCAATCTTCTTTAATCAAATCTGCTCCTTTCTCTCCTACCATAATGGCTGGGGCATTGGTATTCCCACTTGGTATGGTCGGCATGATCGACGCGTCTATAACCCTAAGTCCCGCCACACCATACACCCTCAGTCTTGGATCTACAACGGCATCGTTATCTGAGTCAGGTCCCATTTTGCAAGTACCCACCGGATGGTAGATGGTCATCGAGATGGTACGTATGTGGCACTCCCAATAAGCATCGCTGGCGAATTGTAGGTGTTTGCAGTTCGGGAATGGGATCCGATGTAGATGGCTGCCGAATCTCTTGAACGCTCGCGATTCGCTGATGTTGATCGCGATTTTGGCACCTGCGATGAAAGGATTAGATTAGGTGAGAAATAAATGATATCTACAGTGGGAAAGTTTACATTTTAACGCGGCAACCGAATACGCGAGGACGCGGGGAGAGGCCTTGATCGACGCGTTCGGCGTGCGGGTTAAATAGTCGCAATGGAACGTTGGACCGGAGCGCAACCAGGCTTACTTTAAGAGTGGTGATTCATACGCAACTGCCCTTCGGAAAATTTGTAAACGATACAACATTCGCCGCAAGTAAGAACCTACTGGATCAACCGAAGAAAATGTGCGTCGAGTAAGTGATTCGGTCATTGCAAATCCTCGGCGTTCTGTACGGAAGAATTGCGCTGCTTTAGAAATCCCTAGGTCAATTCTCTATAATGCAGGAAAAAATGGGCTTTCATCCTTATACAGTCCAATCAATCCATGCTTTAAAGGAAAGTGGTTACGTATTACGGAATCTTGTGATGAACGGAAGTTGAATCTTTTTCCTACGCAGCGCAGACTCTGGAACTTTGTTTTCAGGGACGAGGCTCATTTTCACTTAGAAGGTTATGTGAACAAGCAAAATTGCAGATATTGGGCACCAACCAACTCAAAAGAGAAACATCAACAACTGCGGCATACTCAAAAAGTGGTGCGCCATAACCTCTAGCGGTATTATTGGGCCGTATTTATTTGAAGATGAAAACGGTCATCCTTTGACAGTCAATGCCGAGCGATACAAGGACATGATTGACACTTTTTTTTTGCTCCGATTGTAAGAACAGAAGGTCGATTTAACAGAAACACATGGTTTCAACAGGATGAGGCCACTTCCAGAGAATGGATGGACGCGGTAAAAGCACTTTTTGTTCCAAAGGTTATATCGAAGTTTGGAGACATCCACTTGCCTCCTAGGTCACCCGACCTCACGCCATGTGATTATTTTTTGAGGCGTTATCTAAAGTCAAAAGTGTATTCCAATAATCCACGACACTGTAGGAGCTTTTCATTAAGTTTGTATTTTTTTTAAATCAAAAAGTGAACTTTCCCATTGGACCGTGTATTTAAGATCTCGTTAGTGGTAAACGTTCTAGCGAAGGTCAGTTTTTTGACCGAAACCGAAGATTAGATCTTAACCAACTAATTACCAAAACCCCATAGTATATCAATTTTCTTCTTTTGAATCGGTTTATCCAAATACGCAATAAAATTTGAGGCATTCCATTTGAAAAATTGCAACTTTGCTATGTAGGTCGAAATTGGGACACCCTGTATAATGGCCAATATTTTAGAAATGTGTCCTCAAATGACATGTATACATCCCTTAAATAGATTTTCCCAAAATGTATTTGTTTATGAATAATATTCCGTCCACTCATGGATGGGCCACCCTGTATATGTGGATAGTAAACTATTGTTTCAAGATTATTACGAATTCATTATTTCAAAAGTATCAAAAAAGATAAATTACTTCTATAAAGTTTTACATAATCTCGGAATGTATTACGAAAAAATTGTGTATAATAATACTTAAATTCATCCCGTTTTTTATATTGTCCAACCATTCAGAAAATGAAAACATATTTTCAAAAATACAAGTTCTACAAGCTAAAGCTATGATGATCATTTTAAATAAAAACAAATATGATAAGATTAAGTCTACTTTAGAACAACTACATTGGTTGAATGTAAAAATTTTTATGCGTTATTTTCATATTCAACTTAAAAAATCATTTATTACCACCACGTTCAGAAAACTTCACGAAATTAAATAGTCATTATCTCAACTACGAAAGTAGAGGCAGTATAGATTTTCATCTGCATAATCGTAATAGTAGCATAACTAGCAAATCTGCATTTCAAAAGCGAGTATTTGAATTAAGTATATTGAATAATGATATTAAACAGTGTTCGAATTTAAACATATTTAAAGTGAAAAATAATAATTCATGAATACTCAAAATAAAACACAAGGTACAAAATTCGCGGCACAGTAGTTCCTCAGCCATATAAATCTAAAGGGTTGTCCAATAGGGACGCAGGAAAGTAAACGTCAATTTGACATAGACGCCATCTTTGTTTTCTGTCACCGACATGTCATTTTGTTAGTTGAATGTTTACCATTGATCGCTATGGAGTCGTATTCGATTGAAGACCGCATTAAAGTTATTCAAGAGCGCTACAAAAATGGTGCAAAAATAAAAAACACGTTTCGCGAGCTTCGTGAACATTTCGGTCGCAACAACCGACCAAACGAAACAACCATCGGTCGTCTGGTGCGTAAATTCGAGGCAACAGGTTCTGTGGCAAATCTGCCAGGCTCTGGCCGGCCAAGGAGCGTTCGCACACCGGAAAATATTGCTGTTGTGAAGGAGAGTGTGAGAGACGATCCGAAACAATCAACAACGCGTCGATCCCAAGAATTGGGCATTTCGACAACCAGTTTGCTCCGCATTCTCCACAAGGATTTGAATGTACACACCTACAAGATCCAATTGATGCAAGAACTGCGACCATTTTTCGCGCCGAACGTTCTCAGATTGGCTCCTTGAACACCGCCAAATTGATGCCAATTTTTCATCAAAAATCATGTTCAGCGACGAAGTGCATTTCACTTTGAATGGGACGGTAAACAAGCAAAACTGCCGCATCTGGGCGAACGAAAATCCCCGTGAGTATCAAGAGCAGCCGATGCATCCTCAAAAAGTGACTGTGTGGTGTGCATTGTGGTCAAAAGGCATCATCGGACCTTACTTTTTCGAAAATGCGGCCGGGGACGCCGATACCGTCAATTCTGAGCGATATCACGTGATGATAGAGGACTATTTTTTGCCGCAACTTGAAGGAATGGATATGGACGATGTTTATTTCCAACAAGACGGTGCAACATGCCACACAACCAACATCAATATCCATCAATTGCAGTCCTTCTTCGGTGATCGCGTGATTTCGCGCAGAGGAAATGTGCCATGGCCACCAAGATCGTGCGATTTGACTCCCTTGGACTTCTTTTTATGGGGATATTTGAAAAGCAAAGTCTACGTCAACAAGCCAGCCACCCTCCAAGAACTCAAAAAACAACATCGTTGCCGAGATAAATGCCATAGAACCGACCACGTTGCAAAATGTCATTGAAAATTTCGACCATCGCGTGGACGTCTGTAAATCCAGTCGTGGTGAACATTGAACATTGAGCGATATTATTTTTCATACATAAATGGTATAAATGAACCTTCAAAATAAAGTACCCAACTTGATTTGAATATCATTCTTTCGTTTTGGACAACCCCATATAATGTAGCCGTCATATCTCTAATTGGCGTCAACATTTTTCCGAGATTATTACAAAAGAAATTTGGAAAAGTGGATACATTATTATGTTTTTATTTACTCATGTTGTTTTCTTTGTAAATTGAGCGAATAAATATTATTATTAATATGTGTATGGAATAGGGCCATCATGAGATAGAAGTTTGCATATAGCAATATTAATTTTTTTATACTTATTTATGATGTTAGAATATTTTTAGATAATTTTAACAAAAGTTCCCTCAACAATTTCTGATAGCTGACACAAACATTGAATTCGGACAATGTGAGTATTACCTACCTTCGACAAGTGTCTTAATATCATGCGGGTCATCAAAATAGTTGGCGTGTATCAGTGGCGGTGCGAACGGGTTCTTGTTCCTCAGCCGTATCCATCCGCGGCTGCGTGGCCTCAGTAACAGCGGCATCAACGTCCACACATCCTGATTCGCTATCGGTCTGTACACCATGTCGTACAAGTCCTCGCGCAGGCCCAGAACGTGACGGACTTTCGCTCCCGCGTCGCTGTTTATGCTGGCTGGGGCCATGTGGAATTGGATATCCGGCCAAGACCGATTGCCTGGCAAAGCAAAATTATTTATTTATTTATTCCCAACAGGTAACACCCAATTGCAGAAAAAATACAAGAAAAAGTTACATAATTAGCAACAGCGGTAACGCCAAACACAAAAAAAAACTTAAAAAAAGAAAAAACAAACTCTCACTGACAAAGGTACCAGTCTCTGTAGCACTTCACAACAAAGTTCTCACTATCAAAAAATAAGTCACAGGAACTGCAAACAGAATTGAAACATGTACAAAACATATTTACCGGAGATCTAGACAATAAATTAGTATACTAAGTGACATATAAATCCGAACACCCAGTTTAAATGATTTATTTTAATAAAATTTTGTATAAGTACTTAATGATCTCCTACCCATCATATCCCACACGTGCTCAATTGGGGATAAGTCGGGAGATCTTGGTGGCCATGGTAACAATGTGACATCATTATGTTGAAAGAAGTCTATTGTGACTCTTGCAACATGTGGTCGGGCATTATCTTGTTCGAAAGTTGGATCTGCCAGGGTGTCAAGATAGGGTAAAAGATGGGGTTCTAGAACTCCGTTGATATAACGCTGCGCGTTCATGTTACCTCTGATGAAGATTAATGGTGGAACCATAAGCTATAGCACCCCAAACCATAACTCCAACAGTGTGATGAACATGTCTTTCAACAAAAAACTGTGGATTCCTCCTTTCACCACGTCGCCTTCTAACCCTGGCACGACCATCGTGCATGCCTAAACAAAATCGAGACTCGTCACTAAAGACAATACTGTTCCATTCCTGATTCCAGAGTGACCGTTGTCTGCACCACTCAAGGCGATTACGTCGCTGTTCTCGAGTTAAAGGGAGGACCCAGTGTGGCCGGTATGAAAACAAGCCAAAACTTCTCATTCGTTGGTAAACACTTCGCATGCCAATAGGTCTTCCGTGTTCTGCAAACCATTCATTTGCATTGGACCTGGTAGTGGAGAAAAGGTCCCTTAAGGCCAATAATCTTAGGCGGCGATCTTCACGGTCTGTTGTTCTACGGCGGCGTCCAGTGCCCCTTGCTCTTTGCGTACGGCCTTCTCGAAGCCATGCCTGACAACACCTAACCACTTCTTTGCACTCTAACTGCAATTGCCTGAAAAGAAAGTCCAGCTTCCCGAAGTCCCACTATAACTGATGTATATTAATTTTATATCATTATAAAGGGAATTGAAAGACCTTTAAAATAAGGTATCACTCGACCCCCCTTACCATTTAAGATTTTAGGGTTGGTGTCACCCCCGCCCAGGGGGCTGCACGTGTTAACGTGAGTTTTGCCAAACTTGTATACCCCTCGAAAAAAAAAATATCGACGGGTCTGAGCGTTTTTCCAAAAAAAAATAAGCTGCCAGTAAATGAGTCTGTTTCGTTTTCGATGCGCCACCCTGTATACTAAATGACACAAATTCAATAAATAATTCTGGGTATTGCATTTTAAATGTCACTTAGTCACAATGAGCCTGCATCGACGTTTCCTATGCCATGAATTTGATTGATTGAAATAAACTGATTATTATTATTTATTGAAAAAAATCATTCTATACAAAATATTAACCGTGGCCCTGCTTTATGAGTCACACTGTATCACCAAACGGATGTGAATTACTTCTTACCTAGATATGTGTTGACGAAAGCTAATCCTTCAACTCCGCCAAGTGTCGTCATTGGTCCTTTTCTATGCATGACATACTGCATCGTCATCGGGAACGCCTGAAACCGGTCCTGCACTATCGAAACGGGCTTGTTGATCCTAAACGTTAGTCCTCCCATAGCGACGTGGTCCTGAAGGTTCTCGCCAACTTTCAAGTCTGCCAATACCGGGATACCGTGCTTGTCGAGTTCCTCTCTAGGGCCGACGCCAGACAGCATGAGGATTTGGGGGGTGTTGATTGAACCGGCTGACATGACGACTTCTTTTTTTGCCGTAACGATTTGTTTTCTGCCTAGAACGGAATTTATCGTTGCTAAAGTTGTTTCTTGTTCGGAAGATTATTAAGAATAGACGCGGCTTTAGAAAAAAATCTTTTGATGGATTTTACTGTGGAATTAAATTCTTGAGGCAAACAAAAGAAAAGGCCTTCTAGTGATATAAACAAATTACGATGTATAGGTTTTTTATAGAGTCCGTGTGGCGTCCCCCCTTTCCCATGTTTCCCCCTATAGCCCCACGGTACCCAATGGGTGCTTAGGCTTTAGGCCTTCGTGGTGGTTGGAGTATATAAAAAAAAGAACATTACGTTGAGTTGTTACAGCTTTTCAAATTTTCTGTGGTGCTTACGGGGCTAGACCGCTCTCAGAAAAATAACATTGATCAACAAAGAACTGCTAAACAAGTCAAAAAGTTCATATGTCCCATGGTCCAAAAGTCAATAGATTTTTGTCTAAATGGCTTTAAAGTTTACAACTTTAAGTGGTTTATGTCGACCACAATCACCACAATCTTACTAATTTTTATAATCTAATCTAAAACGTTCTTAAATTGGGTAATTAACAAATACATGGCATTATGTTTTTCTAAGTTAAGCCAAAATTTGTAGTCAGTAAGTTTCATTGAATTAAATATTTAAAACACACATGCCAACAGCGCGTCGGTCTTTCATCACTATTATCGAACCGGCAATCGATCGCAAACGGTAATAGTGGTTAGTTATCGTTTTACATAGATATATAAATTACTTTATCGGTTTGTCGAGCAAAGCGTCGGGCGTGTTGTTTGCCAGCAAGATCTCTTTTTTTTTTTTGAAACAGCCGCGCAGGCAGAAGCCTAAATGCCGGAACACCGCGGCTGCTATGATGATCCCAAAGAAATTTTGTTAATACGATTTTTGAACTGCCTAAGGTTAGTAGAACTGGGAAAAGCTTCCTCCCGTAGTTTGTTCCACAATCTAGACACCCTTGGGACAAAGGAGCGGTCGTATCGGCCAGTTCTGGATGTACGAAGTTTGACACAGTTAGGATGCGACGCCGAAGTCAGGCGGGTCTGTCTGGCAGGCACATCGCGCGGCGGCATCATGGAAGAGAGCTCTGAGGAGCAAAGCCCGTTGGTGTAGCGATAGAAAAGAGCTAGATCGCCGACGGCCCGCCGGTGCGAAAGAGTCCCGAGACTGTCTGTTGGAGAAGAGTCATCGATCAGTCGGACCGCCCTCCTCTGGACAGCATCGAGCATGGACAATGTAGTCGGGGCGGCAGCACCCCAAATGTGTGAGCAATACTCGAGGCTAGGCCTTATCTGGGCCTTGTATAGAGTGAGAAGGTCATGCGGAGAAAAGTACTTCTTAGCCCTAAACAAATAGCCTAGCTTTTTCCCAGCAGCTGCAGCTATTGAAGAGATGTGTTCGTGCCAGATCAGGTCCTCGATGATCTGGACTCCGACCAGCCGAAATGAATGGCTCTTTGGTAGAACTCGACCGTCCATCGAAACTGTATGAGCGCTAGGACGCTTTTTATTCGTCAAAGTACAGTACTGTGTTTTGGAAGCATTGAACTGTACAAGATTGTTGCGTCCCCAAGCTGTGATAGCCTCCAGGTCTCTTGTCAGAGAAGAAGTCGTCGCTAGTCTTCTTTTTTCCAGCTCAGCGGCAGAGATCGGCTTGTCACTCTGAATTCCTGCATGTAGAGTGCTGTCATCAGCGAAGCTGTGGATTGGGTTGATCGTGCAGGAAAGGAGGTCGTTGATATGTAAGAGAAACAGTGTTGGAGCCAAGACCGATCCCTGGGGAACACCCGCGTTGACGTTGTGGGATGAAGAGGAGAATCCGTCAATTACGACGGATATCTTGCGCCCAGAGATAAAGTCAGCCACCCATCTGCAAAGCTTTTCTGGGAGGCCGTAGGATGGAAGTTTGCTCAAGAGGGCAGCGTGCCACAGCTGATCGAACGCTTTCGTGATGTCAAGAGCAACGACATGAGCCTCACCATGAGACTGGATGAGTTTACTCCACAGTTGCGTGACGTAAGCTAGGAGGTCCCCTGTGGATCGTTGGTGCCGGAAACCGTACTGCCTGTCGCTAATCAAGCTGTGACGTTCGAGGTAGTCCAAAAGCTCGCGATTTATGCACCTCTCCATCACTTTACTTATAACAGAAAGCAGAGCTATAGGCCTGTAGTTGTAAGGGTCGGTTTTAGATCCTTTTTTTGGGATGGGCTGTACATGAGCAAATTTCCAGTTTTCTGGGAAGGTGCCGGATTCATAAGATATCTGGAAGAGACGCGAAAGAACTGGAGCAAGCTCAGCTGCACATCTCTTCAGTACAATGGCAGGAATCAAGTCCGGACCAGAAGCTTTGTTGATGTCGAGCGACAAGAGCACTCGTCTTACGGTCTTATGCCTGAATGTTACCTCCCGCATAGTGTGGGGAACCCTTTGAATTGACGTCACTTGGGCGTTGGTGGGGACGTCCATGGTGGAGTTGGCAGCAAAGACCTTGGCTAGCACTTCCGCCTTGGCCTTTGAGTCGAATACAATAGTTCCATCCTGACACGTAAGAGGTGGAAGGCTACTGTGTGAGAAGTTCTTTTCAATCTGCTTGGCCAGCGTCCAGAAAGACCGACTGCCATTGCGCTGCGACATTACCCTGTGCCTAACTTTTATATCATGCTGGGTTTTGGCATTGCGAACCGCTTCGTTATATTTGTTTCTGGACTCGACGTCGGCTTATCTGTTCTCCACAGTGGGGTTTTGTAAGTAGGTTCTGTGGGCCTTGATCTTCTGCTGGCGAGCAGTGTCACACGATTTGTTGAATCAGCCGTTGGACCCTGGTTTAGGAACTTTCACTGTGTGAGGGATGTATTCCTCCATTCCGACGTGGATAATTTCGGTTATTGAAGAACAGACAGTCGACGCATCCGTGTCAGTGAAACAGACATCTCTCCAAGGAAAGCTAGAGAAGAAGTCTCTGAGCCCCTCCCAGTCGGCATGTCCATAATGCCAAGTTTTGCGGCCTGTGCAAGTTTCTGCGGCCACAGCGGCTTCTGACCGAAACCTAACCTCCACAACACCGTGATCCGAGTTACCCAGGGGGGACAGGACGGCAGTGCTGTAAGGGGCAGGATGCGTGGTCAGAAAGAGATCCAGCAGGCTACTGGCGTGTGACGAGACGCGGGGAAAAAAAGTAGGGCTCGTCACCAGCTGGGTCAGCCCTTGAGTAAGAGCGAACGCTTCGACTGCACGACCTGCTGCATCGGTCTTATTTGAGCCCAACCAAAGCTCATTGTGGGCATTGAAATCACCGAGAAGAACTACCTCTGAAGCGGGGTGATTGATGTTCAGGAAGTCGATCTGGACGGCGAGGTATTCGAGTAGGTCATCCCAGTTATGGTTCGAGGGAGAGCGATAAAGGCAGCAAATAAATTTGGGTGATGTTTTGGAGTTGAGGCGAAGCCACAGAATGTCCTTCCGGTCTGATTCCAAAGAAAGATCCCTGGAGCAGGAAAGACTGCTGGGGACAAAAGCCACAACTCCCCCGTTCTTTCTCAGATTGGAGTGCACCTCGTAGTTTGGGAAGTTGAGATGGTTAATCGGTGCAGCCTCTGAGATTTTTGTCTCCGCCAAGAAAAGCACGGCGGGACGATTGGATTGCAGGTAGTGATGAACAGCATCAATGTTGCTGTTGATCCCGCAGATGTTCGAAAAACAAATTTTATCTTCGATGTTGTTCCCTCGAGCCCACCCTCCACCCGGACATTCCGAGAGTGGAGTGAGTTTACGTCCGGAGTTTTTAGTGCTCGAGGGATCCATCATCATTAATTTCTTTGTTTTGGTAGATAACCGACTGCATAGCTTAGGTGTGGAAACATGCGGACATTTATAAGACACCCTGGGAAAAGCTAGCGGGTGGTACTGCCTCGGTCGACTGGTCCTTGTCTACCACCTTCTTTTTACGTATTAGTTATGTTAAATAGACCTAAAGTGGCCCGTTGACCACAATCCGATGGATTTCTGGTATTGGGATGGTCCAATAACAACTGAAGCATAACTTCGCGAAAAAATTTAATGCGGCGGAAATAATAAATGGACAACTTCGAGGACCTAGAGTAAAAAGAAACTGGTTTCATCGTAATGAAGCTTGTATGGAAAGTGGAGGAGGACATTTTGAACACCTTCTTTAAATACAAAAAGTGCAGTATGGGTTTTAAAAAGAAAAACAATGTATGTATCAAAATTGTGTTCACTATTCATAAGTGGTTTTTTTTAATACGTTCAATAAACTTTCACACACCAGGTGAAGCGCTGGGACAGTTAGTGGTAAGTCCGTTTTTTTAACTGTTTGCATTTTACGAGTACATGATCAAATAATGAAATAATACCTAAGAGCTAAAAATAACAAACTCCATCTTTATTTACACTGTGTTCCGTCGTAATTTACGTCTGGCATTGCGGCGTTGTCAGATTTTATTTTACTTTTTGCTTCTTTTAACGCCCTCTATCACCCATTTAAATAATGATTATCATAACGTTTACTCCATGAATGTTTTTGATTACTTTTTTGCATAGTAATCACCACCAAGGCCTCAAATCCTGGCTATTATTTCACCTATAAATAAAAATGAACGTATTTTAAAGATATTTTTCTCCTCTTTAACCAGTTATGTGAATCACTTATATCAGAACTTTATAGTTTCTTGAACATACACAAAAAGTTTTGTTGCAACTTTAATAAAGTTATCCAACCTGACTTGTGATGTCAAGAGGATTTACCCTTAAAATGTGATTCCGTCATAACTTTTTTTAGTTTCTATTTTTTTTTTTCTGAAACACTGCCTTGTTGTTCGCAGAACCTAAAAGAACTTATTCCAGATATACGACGGTTGTCACAAAAATAGGATTTCCAAATTTGTTTCAGGCACATAGAATTTATTACGATTAAGTCAATTTTGACTTTATCATTTTACGAAATAAAAAAAAAAATACATTCCACTTGTTCACTTTCGTTCCTTATATCTATTTCCCTTCCAATACTATCTCCTGCATCCGGCTTCTGAAAGCACAATTTACGAGTATTACAGTATCTGTAGCGTGAAACTACGTTTGTCACGTTTTTATAATAGACTTACATCAACGTCAGAATCTTATCCTCGCGATAACGGAACCCCAGTATACAGCGTGGCGCATCGAAAACGACCTTTAAAATAAGGTATCTCTCGACCCCCCTTTCCATTTAATATTTTAAGGGTGGTGTCACCCCCGCCCAGGGGGCTGCACGTGCTAACGTGATTTTCTGCCAAACTTGTGTCCTCCTCGAAAACAAAATCGACGGGTCTGAGCGTTTTCCCAAAAAAAAACTGCCAGTAAATGCGTCTGTTTCGTTTTCGATGCGCCACCCTGTATATTAAACATTTTATAGCTTTTCACACATCGCTTTTATCCATCCTAAGATACCTTCACCTAAGAAATATATCATCACTAGAACAACATTTTTGTAAATTGATTTACACGAATAATCGGAAAAACACTACAAACCCAATGTTGTTCCTTTTTGGGGTTCCAGGGTGTATGAAACTGAAAATACCCTAGGATTTTTTATATAAACGGAGTAAAATACACAGAGCTGAGATTTTTTTAAAATTAACTGGCGGATTCGCATTCACCGACAATTCTTTGCCGAGGAAATGTGAAACTACGAATAAGCGTCCACCTCTTCTGAGTCATATGAAGTAAGATCTAGATATAACAGCTTATCAATATTTGCGGTGCACGTTTACCTCTTCTAACAAATTCCACTCCAAAAGCCCTTTTCGTAGATGGATTGATTAAAATTCTTGTTACGTGCGCGTTGAGAGCTACATCCAGGTTATGCCTCTGTTTGACAGGTCTTAGGAATGCCTTGGCTGTCGAACATCTTGAACCTAGAAAGAAACTTGTATATACAGCGTGTCCACAAAGTTGACATTTTCCTTTACAAAGAGTAAAGGTCAGGCAATAATAAGAATGTTTTTTAAGCAAAATGTAAAATCCTGTCGCAATCCCCTCTCACAATCCCCTGTTAGGTTAAAACGTACTGACTATTTGAGACAGTATCCAAATCAGGCGTCTCTATGTTAACCTAGTTTATGAACAAACTCCAAAATCGCGCATTCCTTGAACAATAACGTAACGATTTGATATGAGCATCTTCAAGATCCTATTGATACTCCGCGAGTGTACTCAAAACGTCGCCGCCTTATTGTTGAACACACTTGAAGCCCTAGACAGCTCCAAAATTCGCAAATTTAGGTAAATTATAAGACTCTATTGTTAATCATTTTCCTGCGCTCAAAATTGTAGTAGGTGGTAGAGGGTTTCTGACTGACGAACGCGGAGTGTGTGCACGTTGCATGCACACGTTTTCACTCGCAGAGTCCGTGTGGCGTCCCCCCTTACACCTATATCCCCTTGTAGCCCCACGGTACCTATGGGTGCCTAGGCCTTAGACCTTTGCGGTGGTTCGAGTATAAAAAAACCTGTCACAGTAAGAGTAGGAATAATTTCATATTGTACATATTGAGTCTACATTCTCTGTTTAATAGAGCATTATAGTAGTTATAGTATAAGTATACTACGTGACATATAAATCCGAACACCCAGTTTAAATGGCTTTATTTTAATAAAATTTTGTATAAGTACTTAATGAAGCATAATAAGTAAATGATAAAAATTTCAAAATGATTGCACTGCCTTAAAGCCCTTTGACCTTTAATAATGTGTGGATGCACCCTGATGTGCTACGCATTCTCCAACGCACCTAGGCATGCTTCTGATCAGGTGGTCAATGTCCTCCTGTGGTATCTCATTCCAGGCAACCACCAACTCCTCTCGAAGTGCTTCTAGAGTCTGAGGAGGACGTTGCAAATTGAGCAATCTCCTACCCATCATATCCCACACGTGCTCAATTGGGGATAAGTCGGGAGATCTTGGTGGCCATGGTAACAATGTGACATCATTATGTTGATAGAAGTCTATTGTGACTCTTACAACATGTGGTCGGGCATTATCTTGTTGCAAAGTTGGATCTGCCAGGGTGTCAAGATAGGGTAAAAGATGGGATTCTAGAACTTCGTGGATATAACGCTGCGCGTTCATGTTACCTCTGATGAAGATTAAAGGTGACCTGGAACCATAAGCTATAGCACCCCAAACCATAACTCCAACAGTGTGATGAACATGTCTTTCAACAAAAAACTGTGGATTCCTCCTTTCGCCACGTCGCCTTCTAACCCTGGCACGACCATCGTGCATGCCTAAACAAAATCGAGACAATACTGTTCCATTCTTGATCCCAGAGTGACCGTTGTCTGCACCACTCAAGGCGATTACGTCGGTGTTCTCGGGTTAAAGGGAGGACCCAGCGTGGCCGGTATGAAAACAAGCCAAAACTTCTCATTCGTCGGTAAATACTTCGCATGCCAATAGGTCTTCCGTGTTCTGCAAACCATTCATTTGCAATGGACCTGGTAGTGGAGAAACGGTCCCTTAAGGCCAATAATCTTAGGCGGCGATCTTCACGGTCTGTTGTTCTACAGCGGCGTCCAGTGCCCCTTGCTCTTTGCGTACGGCCTTCTCGAAGCCATGCCTGACAACACCTAACCACAGTGTCTACACTTCTTTGCACTCTAACTGCAATTGCCCGAAAAGAAATTCCAGCTTCCCGAAGTCCCACTATACGGCCCCTATCAAACTCACTAAGTTGACGAAATCGTACAGGTCTCCGTACTCTAGGCATCTTAACCGATCGTAAAGGATGTCAAGAACCAAAATCCGCCAACGTTGATTCTTTACTGCGGCTGAAATATTCATTTTTAGAGCGTTAGTGAATTAAAAAAAAGCAGTATAAAAACCGGATTGTCCAACTGATAAGGCTGAAAATTTTGTCACTTGTTATTTACAGTAAGATAAATACATTCACCAACTTTTATTAAAATAAAACCATTTAAACTGGGTGTTCGGATTTATATGTCACTTAGTATATATCGTTAGAATCATTAGGGTCAGTTTTATATCAATAGATTCCTGAACTCGCTTTCTGGGTGTAGACAGTATCCAGTCGTTCACTTTTCTTTTAAATGAGTATATGGAGTAAACGAGTTTCAGTTGTTGTGGAAGGAGATTGTAACAAATTCCCCGAAAATACCGAAATGTCTTATTTTTCCTAAGGGTGGAATAAATACCCCAAATTGGGGGAAAATCGCTCAATATGACAACCCTGTACTTACCCCTTCTGATAGTCCCCTGCGCTATCATGAATCCCGCCTGGTCGGCGCCGTTGATGTCCCTTATTGGATATCCCATTTCTGCCCCTGCCTCCAAGAATGCGACGACCAGCGGCGTGCGCCAAGGAGATTCCTGGACTGTCAGCAGTCCGCCAGTGCCGTGGTAAGGCGTCCGAGCCAGGTACGGGTTCCTGTTGTCTTCCGATTTTATGAAATATTTCAGAACAGTCGAGTAGTTCCAGCCTGGATTACCTACAGTTTTTTTTAACATAAAACGCTTTTTATTTTGTCAGATGCGTGTTGACTCGATAGATCGGTATGATTATGTAAATATAACTATAGTCTGGTACCGAAATGGAAGAGAGCAGCAAAACACAAACGAATTCAGACTCGATAGAAAAAGCAAGCCTACGATTTGTTTGTCTCCAAAATCTCAGTATTTAGTCGGGATGGAGGTTCATATTACAAGTTAATTTTTTAGCAGCTTCGTATTTTAAGTGTTATTTTTTGAAAGTGCGAGTGTTTGCAGATAATTGTGGTGTTACACGATTTCAGGAAATGATACCTCTTGCATAATTTGCAAAGAGCGGCACAAGCCGAATGAAGGTAGATGTTTCCACCGGCAAGTATCATAATTATAATAAGACATCGCAAAGCGTTATCTATCACCAGAATCTGCCGGAAGCTGCTATTTATTGGAACTGATCTCGGTTCACGTTTAATAGTACATTGTCCATGAGACGATTCTGGCTCTTTGCTATTTAATAAACCAAACATGATGCTATCGAAGCCGTTGTTAACAAATAATAGTACAGCTCTTTGTATGTGAATATTCCACTTTTATGGCAGACTTGAGCGGCTGATTTTTTTTCTTATCACTTTCTCTCTTCAAAAAATCTTTGGTTTTGTTGAAAGCTCAATTTGTTGAAAAGTGAAGTTTTGAGATAATTTTAGATTTTTCGAAGAGAAAAAGTGATGATAATAAATAAATAATCACCTATTCAATTATACTGTGAAATTGGAATTTTAACATACACTTGCAAAGCTGTACTAATATTTGTTAACAAGTTACGATTACAATAAAATGCACAAAAAAGTATTTAAAAAAAAATAATAACATTTGTTTCTGGTCATCTTTATTACATCATGAAATAATCAGAGGAAAAAGATTAAGAATACTGATTTAAACATGCAGTTAAAAAAGGGACATGTGACCTTAAGCTTTTAGGAATTGGTATTTGTTGGTGTTTAAATGTTGTTAAATTGCGAAGCTTTAAATTTGTGTTCGATAAAACATAGAATGAATCTTATTTTCATCCAGAAATACATGTAATGGACAAAAGTATATATACAAATATGAATATTTACCTAAATACCTTTAGAAAACGAATTCATACTTCATTGCTCCATAAAAAAATGCGTTATTAGTAGAAAAACTAAATTCCTTGTTTTTACATTATCTGTAATGAACACAATATAAGTCTGAATATAAGCACTTTTTTATGAGGGACAAAAATATGTAGACAAATTCTTTTCAGCATTAGTTTAGTACAGTTTCGTGTCAGAAGAGGATTAGTATGTGTTCATCAAGTATTGTGGAATAAAAGTTGAGTGATTTTAAGACCATTCTGCGTGGTCCAGAAATTATTGAACCCCAAGTACACTTTGCCCACTGTCAAACATGGAGGCGTGTCTGTTATGGTATGGGGGTGCTCTTCGGGGTTTGGGATGGGACCTTTTCATAGAGTAGATGGCATTATGGATAAGTTTGTATACACAGACATACTAAAGCATGTCATGTTACCCTATATGGAAGACAATATGCCCTTAAGGTCAATCTTCCAGCAAGCTAATGACCCGAAGCACACTTCAAATCTCGCTAAGAAATTCTTTCTGGATGAAAAAATACCAGTTCTCAAATGGCCTTCACAGTCTCCCGATATAAACCCCATTGAAAATCTATGGGAATACTTAGATAAAGCAAATACGAGATAAACATTATTGAAACAAGGATGAACTTTTTGCCACTTTAGAGCAAAAGTGGAGACAGATTGATGAAACTTATATCAAGAAACTTCTACAATCTATGCCGAGACGATACCAGGCGGTGATTGATAATAATGCTTATGCTACAAAATATTAACACAAACATGGTTGGTTTTCTATAATTCAATGATCTTTGCTTCTTTATTCTGTAATTGTTTTTCTTTGTCTATATATTTTTGTCTTTCATAGTTCCAGTTTTTTTCAATTAATTTTTTATTGAAGGGAGTCTAATGAATTTATTTATGTCTAAGTGAGTATTATGCTATAACGAATTATGTTTACAGGTTGGTGTATTAACAAAACAAGTTAAAAAATAAATACAGCACAATATTAATTTGTCTATATACTTTTGTCCATTTCTAAATATTTAAATATAATTTATAAGGTTTAGACTTTCAGGAACTAATATTTGTTGGTGAACGAAGTTTTAAATACATATGTATTTCGATAGAAAGAACAGTGAACCATATTTTCATTTCAATAAAAGCTTCTGTCTCGAAATTGTTCCATGAACAGATTCCATAGTGATCGAATTAAAAATGTCGGTTGTTACAAGGTCTGTAATTTAGGTGATGAGTCTGGCAACGTAGCGTTAGATCTGGCAATACTGGAGGCGCCGGTTTTAGAGGGGAGACAGGGGAACATGTGGTCCGCCTTCAGTACAAGTTTGAACTCACTCGAGTAGTGATTTTTTTTGAAAGAGTTTCCTTCTATTGTGTTCTATTGAATTTGACACCACCGTTCATCAGATCAAGAACAACTTGGTATTGCATCACGATAATGCTCCTCGTCACACAGCAATGACAATAAAATATTTTTTGGCCTGTTAAAACATTCATGTGGCTCCTCACCTCCTTATTCGACTGACTTAAGTCCTTGTGACTTTTTTCTTCTCGAAGTTGGAAAATCACTTCAAACGATCTGATTTTGGGACAGTCGAAAACATTCAAACGGCTGTAACCGACCAGAGCTGAAGGCTACTTCCATGCGTGTCCAGCGCTGTGTGGCTTCAGAAGGAAGGATAACAAAATTAACAAAAAATCAGTCTCATCTCCTAATTTACAGACCTCGTATTACACGCTATTTACCTAGACTTTCCCACTGATCATAGTCGTGTTTATTTCCTCTCACGTAAAGCATGTAGTTGAGTACGCTAGAACCACCGAGCACTTTGCCTCTAGGCCAGTTGCATTGGCCGTTCTTCATCCCCAAACACGCTCGTCCCGTATACATAGTTTTGTAAGCCCAGTCCATACGAGACAGTTGTAGATAAGCTGCTAAGGATGGCACGTCAGTTATTTCCGTTTCGTCTGGACCAGCTTCCAAAAGGAGAACCTACAAAAAATATCGACAAGTAGATTGACTTCCCTCACAATTTTTTCATCGATTAGGTTCGGTCAACCAAAGCAATTTTATGTGAGTAGTTCATCTACTTTGAACACGTCTATTACCTCTAATTTGTGTACATGGTGATTCACAAGTCGTGACTAAAAACGAAACATCATACGGGGAACCATTATAGTGCCCATAGTGAAGGATGTGGGCGTTCGGGATCCCAATGTTTCAGATCACCTTCTTGTTTATGTAGATTTGCGTATAACAGCTATCGAGCCGCTTAATCTTTCTTATACATTTAGGGCTTTACATCGCATAAATCTAGCTCTGTTTCAGACTGACATTGAGTCGGAGCCTTGGGACAACATATAACGGGTGACTTTTTAAGAGGTATAGGATTTGATTTTCAAAAAAAATACATAAAAAATTTGAAAAAAACGATTGAATCTTTATTTGAGTCGATAGAACGGTCGATATAGTTTAATGTTTAAAGATTATTTCATGTAAATGTTGGCCGCGGCTCCGCTTTAGATGGCCCATGCGCAAGGTCCAATTTTGGCACACTCTCTCCAACATATCGGCCGGTATCTCACGAATAAATGCTTCAATATTGGCTTCCAGTGCGTCAATCGTAGCTGGTTTATCCCTGTAGACATTAGCCTTAACATGGCCCCACAAGAAATAGTCCAACGGCGTTAAATCACACGATCTAGGCGGCCAATTGACGGGGCCATACGCGAGATAAACTGTTCACCGAACTCGCCTCTCATTAGGGCCATTGTTTCGTGTATGGTGTGGCATGTGCCACCGTCTTGTTGAAACCACATGTCAGCCAAGTCTAGCTCTTCCATTTTGGGCAAAAAACAGTTTGTTATCATCGCACGGTAGCGCTCGCCATTCACAGTTACGTTCCGGCCATTGTCGTCTTTGAAGAAGTACGGCCCGATGATGCCACCGGCCCATAATCCACACCAAACAGTAATTTTTTCGGAATGCATTGGTAGCTTTTGCAATGCTTCTGGCTGGTCTTCACTCCAGATGCGGCAATTTTGCTTGTTAACGTACCCATTCAACCAGAAATGAGCTTCGTCGCTGAACACAATTTTTCGATAAAAATGTGGATCTTCCTCCAACTTTGCCAGCGCCCATTCACCAAATTGGAAACGTTGTGGGAGGTCGTGTGGCTTCAATTCTTGCACCAGCTGTATCTTATAAGGTTTTACACTCAAATCCTGTCGCAAAATTTTCCACGTAGTGGAGTAACAGAGGCCCAATTGCTGCGAACGGCGGCGAATCGACATTTCACGGTCATCACTAACACTGGCGGATACAGCCGCAATATTTTCTTCAGTCCTCACTCTACGTCTGCTTGTTGGTGGTTTAATGTCCAATAATGTAAACTGGGTTCACAAGCTTCCGAATAGCTCCCTCAGTAGGCCGACCAAATTGCCCATAAATTGGAAGCAGTGCTCGATGCTCTCTCTTAACCGAGCATGAATTTTGATAGTAAAATTCAATAATTTGCGAGCGTTGTTCGTTCGTAAGTCGATCCATGGTTAAATCATAGACCAAACTGAACAAGTTTGACAATGACACAAGGCACGATTCACGCGTCATCTGTCAAAAACAGTGTTGCCAAAAAGATACTAGCAAAAAAATCACCCATTATCAAATAGATGCCATCGATCATAAGGTATCATTTTTAACAGACGCTATACTGAATATTTTCGATTTCCATGCACCCCTAAAAGACTGCAACGGTCGAAAAAGACCATACAGTCCTTGGATCACAGAAAACATTAAGCTTATGGAAATGAAGCTCTTTCTCGTTTTAAACGAACGCACAACCTGGTCATCGAGACTATTATAAACAATTAAGAAACCTGACCTCTTCTGCTATTAGAGCCGAAAAAAAGGCATATCTAAGGTTTCAGAATTGCTCTGAAAAGGAAAAATGGGCTGAACTAAAAAAACTAAATATACTTAGAAATAAAAATAAATACATCTCTGACCATTTGAGGAATGTTAATGAACGTATTACCTACTTTGCCCAAATATCACAAAATAATACTCCAAAACAAGAATTGTTGCATTTCTACATAACAACAAGTCATAGCTTAATGAAACCTTCTCATTTAACCTAATCGACAAAGATTTTGTTTTAAATAGTATCCTCAGTATCAAGACGAAGTCTTTTGGCGCTGATAGCCTGAGCATTACCCTGATTTCCTTGTGTTGCCCTTTTATAGTTCCTTATATTACCCATATCATAAATAGTTGTATTAAAAGGTCATATTTTCCTAAAAGCTGGAAGCTGGCCAATGTTCTTCCATTGGCTAAGGTTAACAATCCGACAGAATTTGGTCAACTACGTTCAATCTCGCTTTTACCGACCCACTCTAAACTTTTGGAAAAGGCAATCGCTATACAAGTTGCTAACTACGTTTCTGCCAACACTATCATCCCCCCTGGACAGTCAGGGTTTAGATCCGGGTACAGTTGTTCCACAGCATTAACAGATCTTGTGGATGATGTCATCAGAGAACAGGATGTTGGTGTTATTGGACTACACTAAAGCATTTGACATGATTAATCATGATATACTAGTGGATATTCTGAAATATATTGGATTAGAGCAGCCGGCCTATGCATTAATAAATTCTTTTTTATCTGAAAGGATGCAGCGCGTGACTTTGGACGGGAACATATCAGATACAATTACAATTACATCAGGGGTGCCCCAGGGCAGTATTTTGGGTACATTATTGTATAGCCTATATACTTTTAATTTCATGAAGACGCTAGTCAATACGTATCACCTTTATACTGAAGACACTCAAATGTATGCCTCTTTTAAACCTGATCTGTCAGAACTTATAACAAACCGACTGAATACCGACTTGAATAGCCTTCTTAAAACCTCTGAAGGTCACTTGTTAAAGATAAACCCTAGTAAATCGACGGCTATATTGTTTTGTAGTGAAACGTATTAGAAAGTAATAATAAGCTCAAGCTAGAGGACAATATAATATCATTTAGGGATTCCGTGAAGGATTTGGGCTTAGTGGTTGACTCTAAAGTTTAGAGAACACATTACTCTGTGCCTAAAAAAAGCATATCCAATGTTAAAAATAATTTACTCCCATAGACATCACAAAATACTAAAGCCACGCTCTGCGAAGCTTCAGCGTTGTCCCATTTCATCTTTGCTGATATGGTATATGGCCCATTTCTTGTTAGTGTGGAACTAAAACGGGTTCAAAAAGCTCAGAATTCTTGTCTGAGACTGATATTTGGCATAAGGGGTAGACAAAGAGTATCCCACAAAGTACCTGGACTGGGATGGTTGAATATGGCTCAGAGGCGTACCTTGCACTCTACTTCCTTTTTTTACAAGATTATACAATATAAAAGCGTCCCTTATCTTCACTTAAAAATCAGTTACCGGACTGATGTACATAATCTAAACATTAGAATGTTGACTTTGATTACAATACCATCATACAATAAAGAATCATTTAAGAAATCGTTCTCATATCAAATTGCATTTTTGGTAAATAAATTCAAAATTAAAGATTTTTCTCTCGCGGATGGTACATTTAAGAGGAACCTTAAAAGTGATTTACTCTCTCAGATATCATAGAAAACATATCTCCTGCTTCCCCTTTTCTCTTCCTCTCTTTCCTCTCGCTTTCTCTTTTCACTCTAAATTTCCATTTCTCTACTTATTATACCTCGCTATATTTCTTAATATCAAAACATTATTAATTATCATTGTGTTAATAGCCATTTGCATTATTATAGAATTGTTTAAATTTGTTTTTTTTTTGTCTCTAACAGCTGCTTCTTTAAGGGGCAAGCTGATGTAGCCCTTTATTCTCTTAAGGCTTTTTGTTTGTAAACTTTTATACAGGGTGTCCCAGAAGTCGACGTCAAGCCGAAACCGGGTGATAGGCAAAGTCATAACAGCTATCAGAAAAATATTTAAAAAAAAATTATGTATGTGTTTCGAAAATTATAGGTCTTTGAAAAAGATATAGAAATTTCACACCCTACGGCAGTCTGTCAACTCCTGTTACTACAAATATTAACTTTTTTTGGATTTTATTTTTACAATGTAATGATGAATAATGCATCTTCAAACTGGTGTCTCAACCTTACTGCCAACTTTTCTCGTTCAGGAAAAATTGCCACTTATTTCCCAACCAGGTATTCCAAAGTAAAACTTTGCTCAACTTTAACTGGCTGTACTGGAAAAAAATGTACTACAAAAGTAACCTTAAAAGTTGGCGCATTTAATAACGATTCCAAAATGGTATAACACTTAGAAGATTACTCGTTAACTTATGCACAATTTTTATTTGAAAAAAAAAATGATGAAAATTTTTCAAAATTTCCTAATTAAACAGCGATTATGAAAACGCACAAGGACCCTTAAGGATAACTGTTTGCACAACAGTGGGCGTTAAAATGCTGCTGATGATGATTTACCTTTACAGCAAATGCTCAAACTGTTTTCCTTCAGCCGCAATACACGCTCGACATCTTCTTAAAAAAGATCGGGTTATTAAGCGAGCGAATCCACGGTAATTAACAAACTCAGCTGCTTCCAATAGTCTTTGCCGTAGCTCAGCTACATTTTGAATCGGCTTGAAATACACTTTTTCTTTTACAGTTCCCCAGTAAAAAAATCTAAAGGATTCAAATCAGGTGATCGGGCTGGCCACGGTATTGTACCAGACCGCCTTATCCATCTGCCTGGAAAGTTTTGATCGAGATACTCTCTTACTGAGAGTGCATAGTGCGCTGGGCAGCCATCATGCTGAAACCACATGTCCCTGTAAATACTCCATGTTCACCAATAAATTTTGTACATGATTTTTCAAAAAATCCAAATAAACTTCAGCAGTCAAAGTCTCTGGGAACTCAAACGGTACCGATTATTTTACCATTTAAAATTCCTGTCCAATGGTTTATCTTTATCAAATGTGGGTTTGCTA